AGTGGTGCAATCAACAAAAAAGATAAGCGTTGATTTTATTTGTCTACACAAGTTGTATACAGTCAATGATCTACACCCAAGGTCTGAATAAAAACTGTGAGACGCGTATCAACTTTTGTATGAACAAGGAATTCTCTTAATGTTACTTCTTGACACAAAGTACAGTTATCACATTAAAAACTACTTGATAATTTGTTCAAATTCATTCTCTACAACTTGTCAGAGGGATATTAGCTAAAAAAAATATTAGTTTGTATATAGCTGATTTAAGTAGTATTTTTTTAGTATTTCTATTGTACCTCATTCAGTTCTTATTTATAAGACAAATCCCTCTGACAAAAGTTTCTTCAGAATATTAAATTTATTAAATTTATTTTTTTCTTATTTTACTGTCAGTGTGTATTGTAGAGTAACTCTTGCAAAACTTCTACTCTACTGGGGACACTACTTACACTCACCTAATGGATCGACAGTCCTTTCTGAGGACCGTGGGAATGCCCGTTTCGCACAACCGAAAGTAGGACCCCCATTAACACTTGTCGCATTCCGAAGCTCCCCTAACAGGCGAGCAAGGGTCGGGATGTGACTCTATGCGCTGAAACGCAAGGCTGTGTACCCAGTTTCTGGACTTATGGATGGGCGATCAGAGCTCCACGGAACTGATACGGTTGAGGGACTTCCGCGCTTCACTGGTGTCCTGTATGATATATCAGATAATAAACCGCGTCGGTATACTACGGATCATGTATGCTCTGCCGAGCTTCACATCGGTACAATGCTTGTTATGACAGAAGGCGCACCTGCGCGTCGCCCTATTTCTGCCCTTGAAGGGCGGAAGAGAAAAGATTCTGAAGAACGGGAAGTCGTGAATCAGACTCGATTCGATTCTGAAACGCGGATCTCGGCCAAGCATATCCAAACATCCCAAAATAGTAAAAAGCCTCTGTTTCACCTTTCGAGACCACACACAAAATTGTCGCATCGATGCATTCTCCACCGTCGATCGTTAACTCCTTACAAAACCAAGGAATTAAGGTGGATTCTCCCCACATACATCATCTAGACCGAAAGTGGCGAGAGCAGCGAACACGAGCTATGAAGGTACCGACGATCAGACCAACGTTGTGGCGGCGCTGATGCGCAACATACCAAAAATAGTCAGTGTACTGGCAATAAGAGTACACTGACATTGAATGAAGTACGGATAGCCGTAGCGGATATCCGATAAATGGTGCGCCAAGTTCAAGGCAAGCAACTCGACCATGGGCGCGGCAATCGTCCCGGAGTCTTGCAAGCAGGTAGGCCTTCTTCCCTAAATGTGTGGCCGAGAATCCCCCTTTTGTCTTCCTTGTTATCGAGAGTCCTTGTCCATATCTTCTTATCGCTCTGTTTTCGTTTGTTTTTCTACCTTTTCCCTTTGTATCGTAATTAGAATTCTCAAGAGCAAATCTGCAAGAGAAGAGAAGGACTAGAAGACGAGAATTGTAAATCAACACGCGACTACAACACGTACAGAGACAAGTGATACAGACGAATCCGAGAACCAGAAGACATGCTTTGTTGACGTCGAGCGACATGAAGTTGCAAGAAGGACAAGAAGAAGAAGCCAATTAGGGAAGGGAAGTTTGTAACGATCACCGGCGCTAGAAATTAGAATGCATGACCTGACCAATTGCGAGAAATGGTCTCAAGGTGTCAAATCCTTTGCGCTGTCGTTGATCATCAATGCTGCTGCATCACAATCGAAAGCAAAGACATAAGTCGCATGGTTTCCTCTCAAAGCTAGCAAAAGGGAAAGGTCCAGACTCCGAGCCTGTATCCGCGCTTCCTGGGCTAAGGGACGCAGATGGAATAAACACGGCTGAACGGACATGTATCCATCGATTGAATGCACTCCAACCCTTGGGTAAGTAAGCAACAAACTTGATCTTCGCAGGTCCCATCTAGACATCGGTGATCCGAACACTCGGCGAATGATGCCTCATAGTTACCTTATGCATGTATTTACTCAATACGAAGTTTAAACATTAACAGTACTCATGTGCTTGTCTACCTCTTCTTGGTTGGCCAATATACTTTATCAATACTCCGTCGCCTCACTATTCGACATCGTCATTGGTTTGTTCGGCCTTCACACCAGCGCTGTCATATGCCGCCGAGTATGACTTTCAAACAGTCTTTCCACGCGGTCAACTCGGACATTTGTACGTCGAAGGATAGAAGTTCATTCATTGACATATCATAATTTACTCACATAAAATAAAAAAAGTCTGTCGTATGTTAGAATTTCTCCTACACGCCGCATAAGGACAAATGAAATATCAACATGGGTCTGGTGATGATATGCACGGCATCATCCCCACTGTTTACTGTCTTCAAAACTACTCCTTAGCGCCAGAGAACCTGCAGATTTGAGTATATCAAACCCAACGAGCAAGAGGCTCAGAAATTGGCAGATAGTGAAGCGCTTAACTGAATAATACACATGCATCGCTACTTATAGATTGACTCGTACTCCTGTGTCAGTATCAAATCAGGATCAGAATCAAATTCGGTTTTGGGATTAGGCACAGACGAAGCAAATGATCATGTATGGACAATGCGTACTTGAAGAGTAACCTACTGCTCAGAACTACTCATTGTTCAGGCAATATGTATAGCTGCGAACACTCTCAAATATTACTCCTTGTAGTCATGGGGCGGGGCCAAAGCAAGTTATATGTACCGGGGTGTTAACACATGCCGCCTTCCGCAGGACTGAAAACGCCTCCGACAAGACAAAGAAGAGTTCAAACCAAGATGAAGACGGAGCGCCCGTTCAAACATCTTCCTATCTTCTTCCTATACTAATCATCAATCACATCAATACTAATATTAAAGAGCAATGATACAGAAGCTCTAGGTCCATACCACTCGAACACATGACATCCTACAAATACCAAGTTTATCTCTTCTTCCATCTCTTATCCTTTTGACTTGCCATTGTGATCGAGGCTGAGCCACGTCCAATCTTAACATCAAATTCAAGCGCCAAACGTATCGGCACCGCGCGGCGGCCATACTTGCGACAAACCGCCCTTAACCGGTGGAATAAGAATTGGAAATATTAGTGTCAATATTTGTCAAATGTTCTCAGAAAGTAAACGTTCAGTGCCTGACGCTATAATTATACGATGGGGTTATAATGTTTACGCCATGACCTTTACCTTCGCGGGAGCCACGAGCAAAGACAGGAACTCTGGTAAACACAGAGCCCAATATAGGCAGCCGAACATCTCTCCCTTCCTAATCGTACCATGGCGGAAAGATTGACGCCCTTGCTAATACTGTCATCCGCCTAGTTCGGGTTCCACCTTCTCTTCCGTCATTAGTTGCCTATACTTACACTCAAGCCTCTTCTTTCATCTTTCCTCCGCTTTCACTCCAGTGCATATAGGTGTCGTTTCCTCAAGGCTCGTTCGAGCCAGCGCCAAGGGTACACTAATACCATGTTATGCTTATTTAATTTTGTGTTGATGTACACACCAGAGCACAGCTTTTGATGCCACAGGGTTTCAATCTAACGACTCGATAAGCTCAAATAGAGATGAGGGTACCTAACTCTATCCACATGTACATGCACTTTTCTTTCTGGGAGTCGACACTCGAGGGTCTAGATCAGTTGACTCTGCAGAAACACGTGGAGAAATGATTGACGTTCCTTGACACTACACTAATCTTAAATTTCAAGGGAGCGTTCTTTATGCCTTTGTATCTGAACGATCTGAAAAGCTTCCGCCGCGGAGACTACTATTATGTCAAATACTAGAGGCTCCGAACGCGAAAATCGCGTAGGCAATAATTTCTAATAAGATTAACACCGTATATTTGAACTCACAGTAAAAATGCCTCGCCTTCCCGTATCTTTGTAGGAATTTTTTCGAGACAAGACATGTCGTTGTTGATGTTGATTTTGGTCTTGAAAGAGGATAAAGTTAGAATCTGCCACCATTACCGTTTCATTGCAATTGCTGAGTATTGTACCAAGATACCCGAAATCGAGTGAATCGGCAATGTAGCACTCGGATTCAAAAAAACCTAATCCATAGCTGACCCCACAAAGTACAAGTAACAGACAAAGCAGAGTTCCAGACAACAGGTTATGTATGGGCCAAAGAACAAGCGTATGCAAAGCACCGAGGGCTAGATGCGTTCTACCATATAGATAAGGACCTGAGGTGGTGGTACATAAATAACCTGGACAGAGCACAATGCACAGCAGTACGTCTCCAGAGCCCACCATATATGCTGATATCAGTGCATACAGGATGAGCAACGTCGTGGAAACCGGGGTACAGAGAAAGGGTGATAGGCCGTGGTACGTAGCAGTAACGTCTAGAACGCGAAACAAGGTAAAAAGTTAATGCATTTCGAAGGCTATACATAAATGATTGACTTGCACAGTAACAATTGCGTTCGAAGCGGTTCTAGACTATTCCCCCTCCGCATTTGGCTCTTTCCGACTCCCGAGCGTCAGCACCCTCTATTCCACCAAAATGCTTAAAACAAATGGTAAGTGCAATTGCTATGTCTCCATCAAACGGGGTGTACGGGATAACGCTCACAAAAAAGTGGCACATGGACATGCCATTGGAAGAACGTTGAAACACGAGTTATTCCGCAAAACGGACGCGATTGGCATGGCGTTCCGACAAGTCGCTTTTTTGTGCAGCGTCGTTTCGTTTGTTTCGTCCCCCACGTGTCAGTGACGTCTTGCTGCAAGGATTGAATTTCTGATTTTGAAAAAAACGCTCGCGTCGCGGGACAGAGTTGATCCGCTCTCCTCTTCACTACTTCCGAGCTATTTTCTCTTCCGTCCGTTTCGCTCGCCAACCCAGAAAGCCCAATCAGAACCAATGAATCCGCAGTCACTAAGAGGGTCAGCAAGAAGAGAGGAAGAATGAAAGTTTTCCGCAGCGGATGTTATCACCATAGTAAGTTTCACCTCGTTGACAGTAACATATGTTTATTTGAAACCAAGTAGTATACATCTACACGTTTCACAAAACAAAAGCTGCCTTTATAACCATCCTGAGCTGTGCCGTTGGTGGTTACTAGTTGTCGGCAGTCGTCATCGTTAAGGTTGATTCCGTGTCGGTGGGCACGAATAGGTTGGAGACCGACCATCGCAATACGTGGGTCCAATAATAGTTCGATTATTCGGGCTCGAAATTAAGAGTGAATATTTCGGTGTCAAACCATTACTCTTCTCAAAGAGACATTTCGCTACAGAAGAAACCAACAAAGACCGTATGCCTTGTTCGCTTTGAAGTATTACCACCGTGACGCAGGATCGAACAAATTCAGAAAACGTAAAACGCAGTATTCGGGAAGTAGCGACAAGAACGAAGTTGCATATGCGTCAAAGAATATGAGCGTTTAAAAGGAGCGGGAAGTTCACTTTAAAAATCACGCTGCGGCTGTCGGGCTGTGAAAGGGTCGGAAATGGGCCGCCAAGGTAACACTGGTATTAATCTTGGAATGCTTGAGCGCAGATTTGATCCAGTCAATTCGTTTAAATTCATATCGCTCACAAAAGGCAATGCACGGCATGCATTGATGTGTTATTAGAATGAATGTTACGATTAATACGAAGGAGAAAGACAAAGGACTAATAAAGAGATGGGCCCATGGAAGAAGGTATGACTGAAGCTAAGCCTGTCAATTAACACGCGTTCTATGCTTATCAGTGGCATTGATAGTCAACATGAAATGTGAACTCGTGTGTTTATGATATATTATGTCCTTTACATGCATCTGTGGACGTGCAAATACCATGTTTGAAGTCGGAGATGCTTGTATTGTCGAGATCGAGGGTTGTTGCGGTCGGTCGCGAGGAGTACGCACGGTCAAGCAGACAGAGAAGTAGAAGTCAAAAAAAGTCGAGAGCAGCGCGTCATACATCCATACAGTAAGAGATAGCAAAGTCAAACAGAAGAAATGAATTTGCACGTCAAGAGCGTGCTAATGAATCAATGTCATTCTGGCCTTCGACCATATGCTTCCCTCCTTTCTGTTAGTAAAGGACGAGAACAAACTAGGCGTTAAGCTTGGAAGTAATATTCCCGTCTCGCAAAAACCCATTGCCCAAGGCCCAAGGCCCAAAGCCCAAAGCCCAGGACTTTCCCATCGCGCCACGAGTTTCCTATTCCTGATTTCCAAACTGCGCAAGGGTGCCGGAACAGAACGAACGCAGCGTGCCCTCCAGCTCCGAGCTACTCTGCAGACGCGTGCCTTCTTTCGTCCCTCCCGTCAAGGAGGAATAGGAGGTTGAGCAGCCCCTAATCGAATTGCACAGTATTTTCATCCGACAGGAAAATGGTAAACAGTATTTCGTAATGCAGGACAGCCAGTGAGAAAGCCACCGCTTGACAGGTTCAGAATGGCAAGAAGACCTGAACACGAGGAGCGCTGAGTTGAAGGGTAAATTGATTCTCATGTTCTCATCGAGCATCACAAGCATCGCCCAAGAGGCAGCGTATGTTCTTCTGAATAGAAAGTACGAGCCAGATTAGGAACTAGAATTGGAAGCACGTACACGCGCAGGCGGACGTCTGTAAGTAGCGCGAGCAATCATACAGGAGAACAGAGAGGCGATGTGAGTGGGTTAACGAACAGTTCGCCGGTGCGGTCTGAGAACGGCGAACTGGAAAGCCTACACTTTTTTTTTGCTTCTTCTTCGTTTTACTTTGAGCGAGGCGTTACGGCATGGATGTTTTGGTTGCAGTATGGACTCAGGGTCGCGGCGCCGTTCTTCGCAAGAGACTAGTAGGGCTGGGGAAGAATCATGATCAGATACTGAGATCTGATTCTCTGAACATCATTGCCATCGCCACCGCGAGGCGAGTACGCGCAAGGCCAAAGCCCAAAGAGAAGCCGAGAGCAGCTGTGTACCCCCGATCCGCCCAATCCGGGCCTATCCCCTCTTCCGTCCGTTATTTTATATGTGCACGGATATCAATTCTATCTCTGGATATATGGTAGGTACCGCGTGAGAGCGTTTCTGGCCGCCCACGCGTCCAGCAGATGAGCTTTTTTAATTATTTTTTATTTGCCTTTTGGGTGGGTATAGATATAGACTCTCGAGTTGGCCCATAGACGCTAGTCCTCTCTCCTCGCAGCCTCGCTCGAGTTAAGTAGTGTGCTTCGCCTACGCTCAAACATACATATACACATATTCCATCTCACTGGGCAGACCGCAAACACCACCCCTCCGTACCCCTGCCTCCCTAACAGTTCTCCTTTGCTCCCCTCAGTCCCTTCCCGTCAAGGCGCATATAAGGTCCCACTCCTCGGTGCCTCTACTCGACCACTCCCCCGCTGCTGCACACCCAGTCTAGAGCCTGCACATATCTCTACACCCCGCCTCCAGGCTCTCTTGAACTTACCGGCCCGCACCCGCACCCGCGCGTGTTAGCAGCCATCGCCGCTGCACACCACCTCTCTCACAACCCGTTCAACTAACACAGCCGCCGCGGCGCCTCCCCCATCTTAACCCGTTGTACGCAATGTCATATCAAAAGCGCATGGACCACCTGACGGCGCTCCCGAGCGTGTCATACCAGTTGTCGAGCCTCCCGCAGGCCAAGAGCCTGGACCATGTTGCGCTGCACCAACCCACGCTGGCGTCACATCTACCAGCACAAGAGGCTAAGGTGTGTAGCTATTCTTCTGATCATGCTTGCGGATGTGCTTGTGCTCTCCCATGCATTGTGCGCGAAGCAAGGCGTGGAGCGCGGACACTTGATCGACGCGCGGACGGAGTGGATTTCCACTTCTGGCCGTCGGTCATGAACATCGGTGCCATTGCCTTGCCATAACATGGGTCATGCCCATCCATGCCATGGTATCATGCACGGCTTCCGTGCTCTTCTCTGTCAGTGTCATCATCCGTCAATGCGGGCGCTAATGCGTGGGCCTTCCTTTTCTATCCTAGCTGCGCAAAGCACTTTCCGTCACCTCTCAGAACTCTGCGAACAGCCAGCAACAGACCACGGCACCTGTGAGTGTCCCGCTACTTTCGATACCCATCCTCCCCCATTTTTTTCGTGCTTTTTGTTGTACTTGCTTTCATTTCGCTTCGATCGCCCCCTTTACCATCTACCCGCGAGAGTTCATTATCGCTCGCTGGAGTTACTATCGTTGTCACAATCGTGGTGGAGGGGAATGTACATGTGTTCAACCACGTGGACAACACCTCTCCGCTCGTGTTTATCCCAAGTGTCGCCTCCGCGTTGACGAGAGGACAGATGGCCGTGTCGCCGAGTCCCTATACATAATCGCTTCACCTATTCTCCTCGCTCCCCCGTTTCATGTCCTCAAGCGTACCTGCTTCCTGTCCTCTTCTCATCTCTTCGCCCGCATTCTCACTTCCCTCATGCGCCGCTTCGTGTTCACACTCCCCGAGTTCCCAGAGCTTGGCTCTCCACTCCCCTACTTTCAAGTCTAAACCCTATTGATGTACACGCGGATACATATATCTTGATCTCCTGTCTATTGCACCTTTCTCCTTTTGGCCATTCTCAACCCTTCCTTTCCTATTCTTTGCTTTCGTTAGATTTCTCCGGACTTTCCAGCCCAACACCCTCTTTTTGCATAGTTTCGCCTCATCACATCCTTCACGGTCTCGCCTCATCGTTCATCTCCTGATGATCTTGTTTTCTCCGCATTGGCGAGTTTTACGCGCGACGTGACGTGATCTGATTCTCACTTCATGCGAGCATTTTGCGTCGATCATTCGGATATCCCTCCCTTTCTTCGTCGCTCAGATCTCTGAATTTCGTCAATCTTTCTCGTGTTTCAAGTTGCGGACTTTTTTAGATTTTATTTTCTATCTTGCTCCCTTTTTTTATACTTGTTTTGCGCAATTTTGGTTCTTCCGCTACGGTAAACGATTCGGGTCCGAGGCGCATGAGGCGTCTGGCTTTTTCAACTTTTTTTTTTTGGTTTCTCTCCGGAATCTCCATTATGCCATCTTGACCTCCGCTTGACAATGAGCCAATACTGACTGCCTTGAATTTTGCAGAAAACTCACACAGTGCAAAATTCACCTACGTGCTCACAAACACCGCTCATGATGCGTACTGTTCGTAATCTCCTTTTTTTTCAAATGGCTCATGGATCCCAATCTAATCTGTCAAGACAGACTAAGTCGAAATTACGATGAGTGAGATTGAGAAAGGTCTGGCCTTTCCAGTCCTTACTCCGTCACATCTGCCTCCACCTGTCTCCTCCGTCTTCGACCGTTCAACCATCCAACCATCCTCCCCATCCATCCAAATCGACAATAAATGTCCTGCACGCTCAGCGCTGCAGAGGGCTCCGAGCAAGTTGACCTTAAAGTCATTCGTCTTCACTTCATTGGACGACCCAACTGCGCTCAGCCACCCTTTCATTCCAATCTACACTCGGTTCGTCTCACATAGATTTTCGTTTGGTCCTTTGGTTCTTGCGTTTGGGTCGCCTATCTCTATCCTCTTTACCTTTCTTTTCCTGTCAACCGTGTCGTTATCGTTATCGTTGGGCGTTTGGATCGTCGTTTACTTTGTACTTCATCATTTGGCTTATCGGGACCTCTGGAGCACCATTACCATCACCTCCGCCACCTTACCACATAATCATACCCAATCGTCACTGCCATATTTCGCTAGCTTTCTCCCTGTTCGACCCGGTTAAGCTGGTTCTATCATCCGCCGTCCACTAGCACCCCACTCTGTCGTGCCGACTTGCACGCTTTCCGGGGTGGTCGGCGTCCGCAGCCAACGCTGCATGCGCTTTATCAGCCATCCGAAAAATTTTGCGCCGACACGTCATGCCTGCATACGCTCTTCCTTCGTTGTACCGGTGCTTCGGGTGTTCCGATGTCCGGCCGTCAGCAGCTACCTAGACGTGCTTCGGCGTGCTGCATTGTACGTCACGACGATGTTTGGGGCATTGTGTTTTGGTAGTCGGGTTGCCTCCAGCTCCTTCCCGCTGTTATCCTATTTCTCTGGTACACCCAGGACTCTTAAATTTTTCGGAGTTTGCAAGAAACCCACTATTGCTTCGGACTCCAGGCTTCTTATCCCTAGCTACTTCGTGTTTAGCATGCGGATCGCTGCTATTTCCTTTTTCTTCGTTTTCTTTCTGCTTTGCGTCTCGTTTGAGTTTCGGGCTTTGGTGTAATTGTTTCTTGTCTGCCTGCATCCTTCCTTGCCTTGTCTCATCAGTTCAGTCTTTCTTCATCTCATATCCCATACATAGACTTCTTTCGTCATTTCTGTCCTGACTACCGCTCTCCACTGGTTTGGTTTCTTTCAAACAACACATTATTCAACCAAAGCAAATAACATCTAGCCCTCCCCGTCCAAATTCATCCAACCAATTTCAGGCAAAGCTGTATCTAGTCACTACTCGTCTCATCTCGTACATACATAATCCGTTTTGAATCAACCCACTCATCTTATATTGGTATTCGTAGTTTTTGCGTAGCGTATTCAATCTAACAGAGTTGAATAAAAAGGATATATACACACATCTACCTCATTCGTCTTTTGTTTGGTGGTTAACGTTAGGTCGAAAAGTAGAAATCAGGGACAAAGTGGGCACAGGTCTAGGGATTATATCAAAAATAGGGACTATTACCGTGCCGGTTAGACCGCGTACAGTCGCATTATCTGAATTAATTGAGATGTAGATATGAAGGTGAAAGCATGATATCAACTGCAGATAGAAGCTAGTTGCTAGCACTAACTGTACGTCGTCCTCAAGAATCGCAAGGGATGACGAGGTGGGTTTCGGAGCCGGTCCGATTGATCTACCTCACTTCGCCTCGTGCCTCTCTTTACTTTTGTACCCCATATTGTGTTCTTCCACCTCTGAGAAAGTTTACCATCTAGAAAGTTTCGACTAACCTCTCTTGTCTCCATTGCATATTGTTTTGTCAAGTTGAATCGAAGCCGCACATGTTCGAGCATACCTACTGAAATATGGTAGCAAAAAGGTATTTTATCCGCATCGCGTCAAAGTGCCCTGACCGAAGGCTATCATATATTTGTCCTTGTAGTACTCCCTCTCTCTGGAAAAGCATCGTTTCCGGGGTATCTCATCACTGTCGCGTATCGTTATCTGTGTCTGGACTCTGTTCTACCTTGCTCTTCTCCTCCTCGAAATGTCCCCGGACTTTGGCCTTTTGCTCCTTTTGATCGGTTCCTCACTTTCAAGCGTTTCCATGAGTGTGCCAGAGATGTCGCCACACCTGCATACGGATGGGTGTATTCCATCGTTTGTTGCAATACTCTATTCTACATGACCTTCATGACCTTCCATAAACGACGTCACTATGTTCTGTGTACCTCTGTTCTTCCCTTCTCGATCATGTTATGTGCTTTTCTTTTTTTAGCTCTGATTCTCTACTGTATAAATTCGTTGAGCATGCTGAGCCAACTGGTCTTAAGGACTGAATCTGATGGAGGATACCAGAAGGACTACCTATCTTAAGCGCCCATATGATCAGAAGAACCTCCAAAAGACGAAAGGATGGGATTGGAATTAATATATTCGCTGCCATCACTCATAAAGCAGATCTGGATGACAACCTCATCTCGATTTGTCGTCCAAGTGAAAACTACTCCATTTGTATCGTATCGTTAACAAATGTGCAAGCGCTGCCTTTTTAATCCTTGTATCAATACAAGTACACATGACGATGACGGATACTTTTCTGTCCGAAAATCAGGGTGAACATTGAAGAAATATGAACGGAGTCATAAGTTCACTTTGGAGAAGATTTTGGACAATGCGTTTGTACAGTGTATAGTATTGACACGATGCATCTGACATAAGACACCATGTAGTTATTCAAAAGTGTGCATCTGACATAGTAACTCAGCAGCCAAAAGCAAATGAATAGCAGCATAATAACCTCGGGTTCGCAGCGCGCCGAGGGAGAAGCTTGCAAGCTTTTGTTATCAGTATTGATGCGGAGTTTAGAGCAGAGCAGGACCTAGGAGAACAGAAGGCCACGAGCATGGCTTGGGAAAACGCGAGTTGTTCGCATTCACAAGTTCTTAAATGCATTGAATAGGTGCTAGAGAGAGCGACGAAGTGTGCATCATAGTGTGGATGTTGGAGTTTGAATGGAGGTCGCGTGAACATGAGCGTTGGAGCGCAAAAGGGGGTCTAAGGAGGATTTAGTGTGTAAATGAATGTCGCACGTTACAAGCCCCCAGGGCTTTCCAGTTATTGTCTCTTCTCTTGGATTCTTACACGAAAGAAATGACGAACCAGACAGAAAATTTCCCGGTGAAAACGGCAGCAAATGAGGACACGCCTCGACGTAGAAGGAAGTTGCGATTGACATTCAGGAGGGTTCCAATGAAAGAACAACGGCCGGATGCTGATTGGCTGAAGAAAGGTTGTTGCTAGATTGACGCCCGTTGTTCCATTTCCACCATGACGCGAGTCTCGCCTCGTCCCTTTTTACTTCCTTTTACCCTCAATTTCTCTTTGCATCCGTCTCCCTCAGATATCCGTTATTCGGGCACTATCCGTTCTTGCACAAGTCAAGGTCCAAGGCCCATGTATGTATGCACTCGTTTTTTATTTGCATATCAACGGCCTATAACTCGTAAAATGATCTGCAAGTCTGTCCGATATCGGCCTCGCTTTTCAGGATCAACAAGATGCTACATATACTTAGGACAGAAGGAAAAGTTAAAAAAGATGAGGATCACAATCAGAAAGAAGGTCCTCTGAAATCCCGGATGATGCGGTGCGATGTCATAGACACGCATGTAATGATTATTCGGACAATTAATAATGCCTCGTGTGTCTTCGAAGCCTGCGCCTCAAGGAAGCTAAAGGTCGCAAAAAGGGAAAGCAGCACCGATTTTGACGTGTACATGTAAGTATTCCATGTTCATAGTGTATGAACGATTCCTAAATCTAACGAGGCTGTCCGGAAATTTGCAGGAAGTGCGGAGATTACAATTTATGCGAAGCTCAGTGTGTGCCCCTTGGTGACCTTTGGGAAAATGAGCAGCTCATCACTAGGCAACGTATTCTTCCCATCCTTATGTTGATTCACAGACATGAGGCTAAATTCTTTGCGCACTCCAGATTGGTATCTGTTCCCTATCCACTCTTGTGAGCATTAACTTTGTTACCTACCTCTCGCCCTCTCGGAAAATTAATAACTAGAAGCAGAATCCTATAATCTTCAAGCACAGATTTGGCCTCCTCCCAAGAACACGGGACAACCTCACGTTCCCTGCGCTTAATCACCCCTTCAATCCTCCCGCGGCGGTCATTGGCTATCTAGCAATGTGTCATAGTCATGTCTCTAATAAGTCTCTCTCCCTCCCCCACTTCAGCCAATAGGCATCCATTCAATCATCTTCTGCACTTTCGCAAACTGCAGGGCCCCGGTCCTTGGTGCGCCCATCGACCCTCGATTCGATCCTCCGAAGTTCACTCAGCGAATCATATAGCGAATATCGGTGATGAAGAACGCGAAGAGAATTTTAGAAGCCTAAAGATAAAGTCCTCCTGTCCTAGCTCTTAGCCTCGACTGGAACCAAGAACCGATACCAAGGATGGATCCGCATCCCGGTTGGCGACTATTTATCTTCGTGTCTGAATTAATCCTTGACTGACCAATGGAAACGAGTTCTACCTGACAGCGTGGTCTTAATGACCTGAGCAACGGGAGCGAGTTCTGGTTCCCCCTGCCTCTGGAAGCGTGCTGATGTGGGCTTGCTGTATATTCATCTGCGTCTATGGCTCTCTCGTCTCGTCAGACCCGTCAAAGATCCACAGGTAGTCTTTCTGGTAACAAACCATCCTGATCACAGCAAAACCTACCTGTCGATTATGCATGTCGATACCGATGGGGCGCCAAATATGCTCTCGTAAATAAGCCTTGGAGGCGAGCTCATCAACGTTCACTGCAGAACTTTGACAAGTGCTGAGCGACCGGGTAAAACGCTGCGCGAAGATCATATCAGCACGGACTATGCCCTCTCTCTCCATGATGCGCAGTCCTTCAACTTGAACAACTTATGCTTACAAATGATCGACCTTCTCGGGCAGGCTGGGCACTATTGCAACAATGGTAGTGCTTTTTTCTTACTGGTGTCAGAACTCTGTGAAATATGCCTTCCTATAGCTCAACGGAAAACACGGTAGCAGTTCATCTACTGTAAGTCCGTGGGTTATTGATGATGCGGTCAGGGCTGCCGACAACCAGTATGTTCAAATTTCGCGACAGTCCGCAGGTTTCGCAGGCCGCTCGTGGCCTTTATTTCACGAGTATTCGTGAAATTCGCCGTATTACAGTTCACCACATAGTATTTTTCCCTGTTTCAGTTCCCCTCGTGGTTATCCTCGTGAGTAACCCACGTGGATAACCTCAGTGTGGCAAACTGGCCAGTTTCCACTCGTACTCTAGTATTCGCAGGCTGGCTGCTTACGTTTTGTTACCAAATATATCGAACAAGTAGATCTGCGTCATATTTTAGGGCGCATCGCGCTTGAACCTTTGAATATGCACCGCCCTCAGTTTTCATCCTTCTAGTCGTCCTTGAGAGTGTAGCGTTCGAACAGTACAATACTTGTAGCGCGTATATTCCGAGGATTTCATTGGTGCGACTTATAGTCCGCGGAAAACAGCAAGGTTAGCTCTCCTTCTATATAGTCCGATGCATCGTGGGGCAAGTCCAGACACTTAAGAACGAGCGATCCGCTTCTCCAGGCTCACTCAAGGTTTTCTCAAAAGGCATCAAACGCATGTATCGGGAAACGGACTTCCGAATCTCTCGCATATACTTCCAGGCTAAAAGGCTCCATGCTGATCCAGAGTTCTAACGCTACGCACGGACAGCTCGAACCATGCGTCAGAACCAGTCAACTTCTTATCGGAAAGCAGAAGTCAGGATTTTCCACGGCTCGTCCTAGATAAAATAAGCTATATCAAGAATTGCTGCACATAGACTTATCGCTTGAAAGCTTGGGGGCTTCCGCTCCACACCGAACACTTTCTTGGTTTCGACCTGACCTAGAATTTACGTCTTCGGAATGGGTTGAGACAATTGAAGATACGAACTCAGACCAACGGTGGCTGAACACTGGTACTCCTCACACCGCGATTCGAGAAGACAAGCGCCCTGAGGCTTGGGCGAGCCCAATTGCTCAGGCGAACGGCCACCTCGTGTACTAGGAAGAGTACGAGTAATTGCTGCGGTGTTACCAGCGAGCTAACCACATGTCGAACATGGTCGAATCGAATTAACTACCGACTACCGCCCTCCGCACAAATCAACGTTAAGCGCTCATCTGGAGGCCGTAATTATGAAATCTATATTTACACCATTTAGATTGCGCACACAAAGTCCGTCTGATCCTTCTCGCTTACCCAACCAATCTCTTTCTCTCCGCTCCCTTCCTCTTCCCATCCTTCAACCAGCTAATTCTCAGGAGTGGCTTCCATGGGTTATGTATAGCGTCATAAGAATTAATAACGATATTCTCCCGCCATCTCATCTCCGTTCGTAGACAGCTCTTCGCTTTCCTTTCCCCTGATTTAGCACACCTTCTCGATCCTCCCCTTAGTTTGTCGATGCCACTCCCGATGAACTTCGACACGCACACATGCAAAGCCACTCCACTCTCCACACGTTATCGTCGAGCCGAGGCTGTGATCATTCTGCGTCGCATTTATGCGACAGGAGCCTGTGTCGTTGCATTGGGGAGACGCAGAACGTAAAATAGTGTGGAGGTCAGCTGGTCTCTTCCCATTCTTCGCTTTAGCTTATGATTTTCTATAGTTGACTTGCTTCAGCCCAATGACTTTTTAAGATAGATGTCTCATGGTCGGTTACGATCAAGGGTCATGAATCATGAATCATGAATCGCTAGTTTACAAGAATGCGCTTTTCTAACATTGCTAACGCCCAACTATCTTATTTCAGAGTTGATTAGGATTCGAATTTTAGTGTTGACGATAAGATCAAGTTGGCGATCCTCAGTCGTTCACGGGCACAGGAATAGGCTTTGTGGAGTTTCAGCGATGCGTGTACTAAGGGACGCTGCTGCCATTAACATGATGTCAATTCTATCCATGTACGTAGTACAATAATACCTCTAATAATACATAACTTCCAAAGTTAAACGACTACATGATAAACACTACATGGTATATCTTCTACAGCATGTTCTTGCTTTCGAGTTCGCGCAGCATAACAGACCATTCGAACGTCTCTCTGCCGTATCCCATTCGCCTATGCATAATGTCGCGGAAACCGAGACGAAGATACAAGGGCATAGTTGTTGACGATGCCTCAGATATGATCGGTAAGCCTATGCTTGGACCATTTTCAGCAGGGACCTTGGCCAATGCAAAACAGTGTTGTAAAAGGGCGGTGCCGGCGCCAAGACGGCGATATGCGGGGTGTACAAACAGAACCTCCCTGTTCGGTAAATGTACGATGTATGAGCGGAGAAAGACAATAGCAAAACATATTAGTTTCAACGAGACGCATGGAATCGGAGATACGGCACATACAATAACGCATGAGGCTTCCCGTGTAGCAGGTCACTTCCCACTTCTACTCGTCCACGGTGCACCTCTGCCAAAAATGTCTTCAAGAACGATAAATCTGTTCCATCCACTTTAAATCCCGTCAACTGTTTTGATAATTTGCCTAAAATCGGCTTCAAATAAACCTTGTGTACGCCTACTGCAAACATATTTGAACTTCTTGACGCAACAGGGGATTGTCCGAATTCAGGAAGCCTTAGTACGGCCATGCCAATAGGAACGTTTCGACTCCCATCTTTTGAATTCACGGTAATCTCAGCCTTGATCATCACCGTCTTTTTATCGTTCAAAGTTTCTTCACGCCTTCGAAGCGTCGAATCGAAATCTGGCCAGCGTCGCGGAGGGATACCTCTCCGCATGAGGTCAGCACGGAATGGGTACATTCGTCCAGCGACAGCATCGTCCGGGTTTGTTCCTGTTGAGAGGGAGAACTTAAGGGGGGCACGCATAGACAAGGGGTGAGGTGACGATTGATCGCTCAGTGTCTCTCGTCCTTATATTGTATGTATTCTAACTGAGACATTATGAAGTCATTGTCTCGTGGTTCGTCCGTTGATGAACTAATCATCTCATAATACTCCCCTTCAAACTCTTACTAGTCCGAGTAAACTGGTAAGATGTTTGACTTGTGGTACATGTAGCACTTTAGTTAATATATCTGCTCGTTGATTGTTTGTCTGTATGTATTTTGCATTTATGTACTCTAACTCAATGTAGCATTTAATAAAATCTTTCTTATGATCTAAATGCTTTGTTCGTTCTGAATATTTGAGTTTGTCTGATGTAACTGTTTGTATAACAGCATTGTTATCACAAAAGATATTAATTGGTGCATCAGAGACCTGCAGAATCTCTTCAGCTAAATGTGTAAGTGTGATCACTTCCTGTGTTCCTCTTGCAAGAGCTATTAATTCAGCTTCATACATCAAATTTGCCACCAGTGTTTGTCTTTTACTTGACCATGAAACTAATGAATTGCTTAAGTAAAATGTATATCCTGATATTGCACAATGCCCTTCTTGCATCATACTGTCTGTGTCTGTATAGCTGTTCAATATTGATTGATTTGTGCTGCTGAGTTGGAGCCAGACATTGTTTATAGTTTTTAAGTACATGTAACAATGTTTAAGTGCTAGATAATGCTCCATACCAGGGTCATTGAGGTATTTTGCTAACTGATTTGTTGCAAATGCTATATCTGGCCATGTACAGTCTGCAATGTATCTAAGTGTACTAACCATGTTCATGTATGGTATATCAGACATTTGTTTTCTATTGTTATTAGTTTGTGATACTGTTTTTAATTGTGTACCAGGCTGTATGGGTGTTTGTACACTTTGTTCGTTTGTAAGTTTGTAACGTTCTATTATACTATTAATATAATGTGTCTGACACATCTTGATGAATCTATGCTCTCTGTTGTGTTGAATCTCTATACCAAGTAGCCAGTGTAATTTGCTACTGTCTGTATATTGTAAATGACATACAATAGATTGTTTTATCATTGTAATAGTATTATTATTCTTTGCCACAATAGTAATATTGTCAACATGTACAAATAATATGGCTACAGTTATTTCTTTCTTCTTTGTAAAGAATACAGTGTTATCATGTTCAGATTTTGTTAATCTACATTTAAGTAGTATATTAGATAGTGTTTTATACCATCTTCTACCAGCTTGTTTTAATCTGTATAGTGCTTTTTGTAATCATAATATTTGTCCATTCTGTAATCTGTCTATTAAGTTACCTGGAGGAGGTTTAACATATATTTCCTTGTCTTCCATCAATTGTCCATAGAGATATGCCAATTTATATCTATCTG